TATGACCCCACAATCCCCTTACTGGGAATATACCCTGAAGAACTCAAATCACTCTATAAATAAGATACCTGCACACGTATGTTTATCGCAGCATTGTTCCCAATGCCAAGAATCTGGAAGCAGCCATGCTGTCCATCAAAAGAGAACTGGATTTTTAAAATGTGGTACATATACACAATGGAATACTATGCAGCCATACAAAAGAACAAAATCATGAATTTCGCAGCAACCTGGATGGAACTAGAGTCTATAGTACTGAGTGACCTCTTACAGAAACAAAGATCTGAGTATCACATGTTTTCACTCATATAGTGGACCTTGATCGTCCAACGTAATACTATAAGAAAATGACTGACCGTGGTGGGAAACTATGTGGGAGGGGGAAGGGAGATGGGATTAATGGTAGTAAATACCTGTCTGGGGATGGGGAGACACCTCTTATCAACAAGGGTGCCTGAATGAAGCATATTTGTATACCTAATCCTTAACTGTACCCCACAATATCATAATAAAAAATAATGATTATAAAAAAAAAAAAGAAAATCTTGTCTTATTATTTGGAAACGCCACTCCAGGCATCAGGATGCTGTGAGATATTACTTAGCAGGACGTGGATTTTTTGTTCCTAAGTTTTTTTATTCAGTGAAAATGTTGTACCTGTGTATTTGGCAATATTATCCAACAGAAGTGGATACTTAGTAAGTCTTTGCATTTGGGTGGGGATGATATCCTTCAGTTGAAGACGACGACACAGCGGATTACTCTCAGCATCCTAAAATTAAAGTAAAAGAAGTGAATCTGTAATTCTTATTAGGACCATAATTACATAACATGCAGCATGTATTCAGCATGTAAGTGTCTATTGCATCACAGTTCTGTTTGTTAAATCAAGATTATTCAAAACTGGCAAGACATCATTGCCACACTATACTCCTGCTTTCTCCTATGATCACATAACAGGGGAAAGAAGCCTCTATCACTAATCCACTGGCTTCTTTGTTATCTGTTTAAGCAAGAACTGATAGTATCTATAAGCAACTAGAAGTATTGCTTTCTTGTGTTAAAACAGTTTTGCCTTTTCAGAAAACCTAGGTATATTTTTCTATGACTGGCAATCCTACCAAAGTTAATTAGCTAATTTGTTATCTGCTATTTTAAATGGGCACAATGGATCACCAGTCTGGGCATGACAGCTCATCTATACCAGGAGTTTGCAAAGTTTTTAGTAAAATGCCAGTTAATATTTTAGGCTTTTCAGGTCATACAGTCTCTCTCTCTCTCACAACTACTCAATTCTACTGTTTTAGCACAAAAGCAGTCATAGACAATACATAAGTGAACATGGTTCTGTGCTGTGAAAACTCTATGATGGCATCCAAGATTCCTATCCTCTCGTGTGCACACCATGTATAATCCTATGCCCTTGAGTGCAGACGGAATCTGTAAATACAATGGAATATCACTCCTATGATTAGGCTACTACCAGATGACCCTGAGTTAATAAAAAAAGAAATTGTCCTGGGTGAACCTAGCTTAACAGAGGAACCATTAAAAGACATCTGTGTCAGAGAGCCACATTCCTACAGGCCTGGAAGAAAGTAAATATCTACCTCTAAAATGCCTAAAGGAGGCATATGACAGAGAGATATGGGCATTCTGTAGAAGTTGAGATGGATCCTAGTCAATGACTAGCAAGAAGGAAAGGACCTCAGTTATGCATTTACAAATAAATGAACTCTGCTAAAAACCAGTGAGCTTAGAATAGAAACCCAAGCATAAGACGAGAACTGCAGCTCCAGCTGACACTTTGATTTTCACCCTGGTGAAACCCTGAAGAGAGGATCCAGTTAAACTGTACTCCTAAACCACAAAAACTGAAACAATAAATTTGTGTTAAGTGGCTATGTTTGCAGTAATTTGTTATACAGCAACAGAAAATAAATACACTGTGTTCCCATTAAACTTTATTTACAAAAACAAGCAACAGCATGCAGATAATCTGTGGGCCATAGCTTCCTGACCCTTGATTTATATACCCCAATGAGTATGACTGCTGTCATATTCTTCCATTGGCCTGACAGAAACCCATTCTCATGCTTTGACAATATTCTTTTAAAGGAGCAAATAGTTGTTTCCTGATAAAACTTCCATGGCAATGTGGATTTCTATATCAAGTATTCTAATCCTGGCATGTATTTATCACTCACCATTCCAAAATCATCTTTATACCTTCCAGGAATTTCTTAAAAGATAAGATATGGCTTTTAAAAATGTCAACCCAGATGTAATTCTTGTAAAAGTCTTAGTCAGAATTCCCCCAGTTTATTTAATTATTGATAAAAACTTGCCTTATTCTTTTTTCTTACATGACTCACTCAACTCACTTGCACAAAAGTTTGAAACCGAGAATCCTTTTTCTGACGAGACTTGATCATTTCCAGGGCGAAAGGCTGGTTACTGCAGAAGGTAGCAGCAGCATGTTTCAACTTTTCCTCTCCTGGTCCACTGAACTGTGCCAAGAATGCAGAGAAAACAATAGGGAATGAAATACAGGGCTTATATAAGGCCAGGTAAAATGACAACAAGAATCCTTTCAACATTTCAGTAAGTATTCTCAAGTGACAAAAAACACAGACCTGCCTATGTGGAATATCAACAGTTTAATAAAAAGGTCTGACCTTGACACATCCAGCCTTTTCTGATCATATTCCAATATTTTCTTGCTTGTCATCTATCACAGTCTATTACCTTTCAGCCTATACCACTTCTAAATTACATAGAACGGTTGACATTTGGAGAACATCAAACACAAAATGTCTGGAGACCAAGGTTAAAATTTCATTTACTTAGACCGGGGACACCTTTACAAAAATCACCCTTACTACTCCAGAAAGCAAGTACTTGGGATGCTTTCTTTCATATTCACTATAAAACCTACTATGACTATGGGCAGTGAATTACTTTTCTGGGTTGAAATAAAATTAAGTCACTGCTACTTTATCTGTACATAGGCTGGAACTGACTAGAGGGAGATTAATGAGCTATGAGCTCTTTTGTTAAAAAGTACACGTTTTACTAATTTTTTTAATTTATAAATTTAAGTCTGCACATGCCATGATTTTAAAGTTTCTTATGGTTAAACATCTAATAAGTGCCTTCCTCAAAATAAGTGCTCTTATAAGTCAAATAAACTGTTTTCTAAGACAGCCTCTATATTTGTAAGTAATTGCTTTATGGTTTACAAAGAGGCATATAATCTTTTATTTAAAGTCACACCCCCAAAAATTTGTACATGAAGGCATTTTGTAAAAAAGCCCTTCTGTAGTGCATTTGTGAATAAATTCAGAGTATTTTTTTCTTCAAGTAGGACACATGCAAAGTAATATTTTAATACATTACTCCAATTTTATATTATTATTATCTTATAAATATGATACTAAACATATGTAAAAATGAGACAAGCAACATTTTTGGCATACTAGTCAAAGTACCTCACAACCACAGAAAGCAGCTGAGTTCACAAAAGAAAATAATGCACCCAACATCATGCAATTCTGCAGTAGTTTTACAAGTAGCTTATGTACAGATGCTCCTCAGCTTATGATGAAGCTATATCCCAATAGATCCATACTCTCCAAAACTATTTTTTAAAACAGCAAGAGTAAATCTAAAGGCCTCTGTGTAATTTTTTGCTTTTATGATTTCTGACCAATGTTTTACTCTAAATTAACCTTTTGTATGTAACAGTTACAAACCAGATTGGTTAGTCCATTCTGGTTTTCTCAACTTTTCAAAGGTATACACACACCTCATTTTATTGCACTTTGCAGATATTATGTTTTTTACAAGTTAAAGGTCTGTGGCAACCCTGCATTGAGCAAGTCTATTGGTGCCATTTTTCCAACAGCATGTGCTTACTTTGTGTCTCTGGGTTCCATTTTGGTAACCTCATAATATTTCAAACTTTTCTGCATTTAGGGTAATCTGTGATCAGTGATCTTTGATATTAAAGTTATTGTTTGGAGTACCATGAACTGCATCCATATAAGATGGCAAACCTAATCATTAAATGTGTGTGTGTTCTGACTGCTTCACCAATTGGCCATTTCCACAACTCTCTTCCTTGAACCTTCTTATTCCCTGGGACACCATAATATTGAAATTAGGCCAGTTAATAACACTACAATGGCCTTTAAGGGTTCAAGGGAAAGGAGAAGTTGCACATCTTTTGCTTGAAATAAAAAGCTAGGAATAATTAAGTTTAGAGAGGAAGGCATGTTGAAAGCCAAGATAGGCCAAAAGCTCTTATACCAAACAGCCAACTTGTGAATGCACAGTGAACACCCAAATGAGAAGGCAAAACAGTCTTATTGCTGATATGGAGAAAGTCTGAATGGTTCAGATAGATGATCAAAGCAGCCACAATATTTCCTTAAGCCAAAGCCTAATCCAGAGCAAGACCTTAACTCTCTTCAACTTTATGAAGACTGAGAGAGGTGAGGACACTGCAGAAGAAAAGTCTGAAGCTAGTGAGGCAGGTTCATGAGGTTTAAGGGAAGAGGCTGTCTCCATAAAAATAAAAGCATAAGATGAAACAGCAAGTGCTGATGTAAATGCTATAGCAAGTTATCCAGAAGATCTAGCTAAGATAATCGATGAAGTGGTTACACTAAACAACAGATTTTCAACGTGGATGAAATAGCCTTCTACTGGAAGATGCCATCTAGAACTCTCATAGTTAGAAAAGTCAGTGTGTGACTTCAAAGTGTCAAAGGACAGGCCAACTCTCTTGTTAGGGGCTAATACAGTTAGTGACCTTAAGCTGAAGCCAATGCTACATTTACCATTCTGAAAATTCTAGGACCCTTAAGAATTATGTTAAATCTACTTTGCCTGTGCTCAGCAAATTAAATAACAAAGCCTGTATGACAGCACATCTGTTTACAGCATGGTTTACTGAACACTGTAAACCCAATGATGAGACATTCTGCTAAAAATAATTTAAAAAAAAAGATTCTTTCAAAATATTACTGCTCATTGATAATGTACCTAGTCACCCAAGAGCTCTGATGGAGGTATACAAGGAGATTGCTGTTGTTTTCATTTCTGCTAACATAATATTAATTCTGCAACCCATAAATCAAAGAATAATTTCAACTTTTATGTCTTATCATTGAAGAAATATCTTTCTGGGTTTGTTTACTTGTTTTTGAGTTGGTGTGTCACTCTGTCACCCAGGCTGGAGTGCAGTGGCATGCTTAGGCCACTGCAGCCTTGGCCTACTAGGTGCAGGTGATCCTTCTGCCTCAGTCTTCCAAGTAGCTAGAACCACAGGCATGAGCCACATGCCTGGCTAATTTCTTGACTTACTGTAGAGACGAGGTCTCGCCATGTTGCTCAGGCAATTCTCTCTCCCCTGCCTCCCAAAGTGCTGGGATTACAGGCTTGAGTAACCACGCCTGGCCAAGAAATATATTTTATAAGGCTATAGTAGCCAAAGATAGTAAGTCCTCTGATGGATCTGGGCAAAACAAACTGAAGACCTATTAGAAAGAATTCATCATTCTAGATGCCATTTAGAACATTCATGTTTCATGGGATGAGGTAAAAATATCAATATTAATATGAATTTAGAAGAAGTTGATTCCAACACTTATGGATGAGTTTGAGGGATTCAGTGGAGAAAGTAACCGCAGATGTGGTAGAAATAGCAAAAGAACTAGACTTAGAGTGGAGACTGAAGATGTGACTCAAGCACTATAATCTTGTGGTATGACTTTAACAGATGTGGAGCTGCTTCTCATGTATGAGCAAAAAAGAAAGTAGTTTCTTAAGATAGAATCTACTGTTGGTGAGGATGCTGTGAACACTGTTGAAGTTATAACAAGATTTATTTAGAATATTTTACATACACTTAAGTGATAAAGCAGCAGCATAGTCTGAGAGGATTGACTCCAATTTTGAAAGAAGTCCTTCTGTGGGTAAGATTCTATCAAACAGTATCCCAAATTACAGAGAAATCTTTCATGAAAGGAAGAGTCAATCAATGCAGCAAACTTCACTGTTGTCTTATTGCAAGAAATTGCCACAGCCACCCCAACCTTCAGCAGCCACCACCCTGATCAGTCAGCAGCCACCAACATCAAGGAAAGACCCTACACCAGTAAAAAAAAATTATGATTCACTGAAGACTCAGATGATTGTTACCATTTTTCAGCAAATGAGCCCGCGGGTTCGAGACCCGCCTGGGCAGCAAGACCTCATCTCTACAATAAATCAAAAAATCAGCCGGGCATGGTAGCGCATGCCTGTAATTCCGGCTACTCGGAAGGCTGAGGCGGAAGGATTGCCGGAGCCCAGCAGGTCAAGGCTGCGGTGCCGGGAGGAGCCACTGCACTCCAGTCTGGGCGACAGTGAGACTCCGACTCAAAAAAAAAATACAAAAACAAAAAAAACATTTTTCAAATAACATACATATATACATATATAGTCTTTTAGACAGTTGCACACTTAGACTAGAGTATAATACAAACATAACTTTTACATGCACTGGGAAACAAAAATATTTGCAAGAGCTGCTTTATTGATATTTGTTTTATTAAAGTGATCTAGAACCAAACCTGCAAAATCTCGAAGGTATGCTTATATGTCACATTAGTTAAGAATATGTTTCCTGTTATAAGTTTCAAGATAAAATTTTTTATCCCACTCCTTCACAGGTTTCTCCACTTTATTTTACTATGTAGTAGATTTATGCAGTCTAATGGATTGTGATAAGAGGACCAATTACACTTTTGTATCTTATCAATGCTGAATCTCACTCGACACTTGGTATTAAATATTATTTATTGGAGATGCGAATAAAACTGCTAAGGAATCATGTTGTTTAAGAAGTCCATATGACTTACAAACTTTTTTTTTCACTAATTCTCCAAACTTTTTTTTATTTTTTACCAAACTTTTTTTTTTACTACATATTTTTTATTTTAAAATTGTGGGGTACAGTTAAGGGTTAAGTATACAAATATGCATTGTGCAGGTACCCTTGTTGATGAGGTGTGCTCCCCTGTCCCCAGACATCGATTACCGTTAATCCCACCTCTCTTCCCCTCTTCGCCCTGCATAGTTTCCTGCCACTGTCAATCTTTCTTATAGTATTATGATAGTTGACTTACAAACTTTTAATCCAAGTTTTACATAGAACTAGATGGTACACTATGTCATTTTATAAAATAAAATAATGATCTTAAAACATTTTCAACTTTCTGTATCAAGTTGAGCAGTGTCCTATTAAGCCAACAGAACTCAGTTATAGCTTTCACAGCTACACTGCAATGAGGAAACAAAAGAGCCACATGATCACAGAGTGACCATAGCACAAGTACAATTTTTCAAGGAAGTTAAATCTTAATAACAATAACGCCAAAGTGAGCCTAGGATAGAAAAAAATTTCTGAAAATGTAATAAATACAAGATGAGACTGGATTATGACTCCTTTCTTGCTCCTGCTCTATGAGTCAAGTATCTAAGAAGAAATCTGTTATTGGATTAGTAGATTTCAGGTCATGAGCTCACTAATTAGTAAGAGGAGGAAGATGAAGATTGTTTTAGTCAACTTTCTAGGCTTCAATCTTTTAAAAAGTTTTAATTGTAGAATTAATAAAATCTTATGGCATTTCCTCAAGTAGTGAACATATGAAGAAGTAAATTTCTGTGGGTATGCCACGATTCCTGTTCAACCTGTGTTAAGATTTTAAGAACTATGCCTTTCACTTTTTTATTATCCACAGCCTTTACCATAGTACTTTCTTAAATACATGTTCTAGTTTAGGTTTCTCTGCTATATATTCCCCTAGCAACCTGTATTCTCCTATTTTTCTTACATTTGTCAGGCTTGAAATAACTTACAGACTGTCTTCTCAATGATTATAAGCTCTACAAGAGAAGAGTTTATCATTTTGATTGCCACTAGATCCCCAACACCTAGCACAGCACTGTCAAATATACACTAACAAAGAGTCAGAAAGAAAGAAGTTGACAGCTACTATGGCCTCTGGATTCTTTCCTTATACTATAAATAAGATAAAGTAATTTTCACTTTTCTATATCATGATGGCAGTTCTCAATCTATAATTTTCTAATACTGCATAGGACAATTCTGAGGTTTGAACAACAGAAGGTGGCTAAAAATCTCTATCAGTTAAACTATTTTTAGCAAGATTCATTTTATATTGTTTAAAACACAAAGGACAAGTATCTTTAACTTTGATGTAAAAAAAGCCTTTAGTTTGAGCACTTATAAAAAAATAACATTAACCCAAAGAATACATATTATAGAACCTTGTCAGCTTTACATTCACTTTGCAAATGGATGAATATTTGGAAAAGTCAGTTAATTATCCTTTAATCTGATCAAGTATCTATAGAAATATTAAAAAGAAACAGAACATCTCCTTACCCAGGTCAGCAAATCTTCCCCAATCTGATCAATAACAGAGGTCTCATTTCTCTTTCGAATAGCCTTCATTTGCTCATTCAACCCAACTGAAAAACAAAAAAAGAGAAAGAAAATTAAGAACACACTCATTTTAGACTGAATCACTTTTTTTTTTAAAGAATTTTCAGAACAGTATAGCTGCTTCCAATCTTCTTAAATATAAGTCTGGACACAATGATTATAGCTCTAAATTCTGTAAACTCTTATCTGAAAAACAAGTGCTAAACATAAAATAACACTTTTGGAAATTAGCATATTACATACAGGGTAGCTACATCAAATATGCACTTAGTCTTAATCTAGATCATGCTCAAAAAGATCTCAAATATAAATAATGCAGGTAATTCTGCTCACTGCTCCTCTCATAATGCATCTGCTCACAGGCAATGGACGTAATCAAGTCTGAACTTGTCAATGCATGCTGGTGAAAACTAAGATTACCAACAAAAGAGTAACAGGCATCAATATGGTTGGCAGTTGTTTGTAGGTAGTGATGACATCTTTGACAAAGAAAGATCGAAAATTAAGCGTCACAGAGAGACAGTGACCTACAAAAGATAAGAACATCCTACTGCTGCCTACAAGAATCCAAGATGACTTCAACCAAGAAAAGCCAACAAGGTTGAATTTTGATATACTTACTCTAGTGTTCCAAGCAATGAAACAATAAAATAATTCCTGAAAATTATCTCACCATGAGATTATATACTGTATATTACTATTCACAAAATACAACTAAACATATATTATTACACGATATATACACATATGTATATGTGTATATATATTTTAAACATATATACTGTAATTGATAGGAAATTTTCTTTTTTTATTTTTATTTTAAAGATGTGGTGTATAATTCAGGGTTAGGTATACAAATGGTCATTGTAGGTAAAGTTTGGGCCTCACTTTGGTCCCCACTTTACCTGGTTTCAGATCAGGTATCCTTATTGATGAAGTGTGCCACCCCTACACTCCCCTAGCAGTTTCCCACTACTGCAATCCCTTTCTTATATTATTATAATCATTCAGGGTCTGCTTATGAGTGCGATAGAGAATTTTCAAGGGTAATTTTGATTATTCCCATTTTAACCTTAGACACTGACTTTAGACCCAAGGTCCTATGTTGACACTTTGTATATGAAAGGCTGATTGTGGGAAGAACGATCTAGTCTAAGTTCCAATCATTTCTTTATTTATGTTATATTCTCACATATAATTTCAGGAATACTATCATGGATACATTTACCTCTAAGACTTAAAAGGGACAATCTTTTCTCCATTGGAAATGTTAGGGTCAATCTTTTCTCTACTGGAAATGTTAGGGACAAAGATCAGAGCCAATTTCTCTTACTGTGAAGCTGAAGAATATCTTCCAAGTTTGAAAAAATCTTCCGTAGTTCTGAAGGTGACAGAATTCCTTCTCTGGATACTCGCTGATAGAACACTTGATCAAGAACCTTCAGTGTTCGAACATGAGCTCTTTCAGTATAAAACAATTCTAAGCAAGAAAAAAAGGAGATATGAAATGTTGCTTTACTTAGAATAATTCCATGGGACCAATCATAGTCTTTAGCTGGAATGAGGCAGCAGGTGGATTATTAGGTTTGGCATAAGTTTGTAGTGTTTGTTTTTGACATGGCATCACAGTAGTGTTGGGAGAATGTTTAATGTACACCAATTGTCATTTGGAGTGACAATGTTGAGCTATGAATATGCATTGCATTTTGCAGATTTGAAGAAAGTTAGTGCTATTTGTGAGCTAACGAAGATGGAGTGTCAAGTGGAAAAAAAACAACCACTACTGACATATTCTTCAGTTTGAGTTTAACAAAGGAGTAAAGGCAGCTCAAAATGTTTGTGCCATGTATGAGGAAAATGTAATTGGAGAAAACATGGCAAGAAAATGGCTTTGTCCTTTCAACGAGGGCTGCTTTGACCTGAGTGATCTTCACATTCAGGAAGACCATCAGGCTTTAATGAAGACCATTTAAAACAGTGAAAAGATGCAATAAACTTATGCATCAACCTAATATACAATAAATTATTTAACATTTAGAAAGAATGAAATGTCTCTGAAGTCACTTTGATTCCATGAAATTCTTCTACAAACTGGCTCTGAGAGTTGAATACTGACAAAAAATATAATTCAAAACTATTTTGTACTTTAAAGTATTAACAGTATACTCCCCAAATCCAAACTCATTCATCTGTTAACTATAATACCCACCTATCACAACTACAACATTAGAAAACTGGAAGCCCCAACATCATACCGTCTTCAACTTGAGTTCTCTTTAGAAATAATAGTAATTTTTTTACCTAATTTGTCTGTAAATCCTAATTTCTGGAGCCAGACATATAATTTCATGATGTCTCAATTTTGTCAGAGACAGAATATTTATTCAAATTACACCCTAAGAATAGTAGAGGGTACAGCATCCATGCTACATATTTGTCATATATATGCCAGGGTAAATTAAAAACACAGCCCTTAGATACAATAAGACCTGGATCTAGTTTTCCCCATATCACTTATCAGCTGTAGAATTTTGATGAACTCCCTGGGTCTCAATTTCCTCATTTAGAATCTATGCATTAAAATAACTTAATCTGAAAGTAAACTGCAAATACTGTATCAATGATTTTTCAACTTTAAGATCTATAATGGTATGAATCTTAAGTATCTTGTAAGTTAAACACCTTTTCATTTTAAATTATCAGTAAGAATCACAGAATCATTTGCAATGTCTTGAGTTGAACAATTCAAGGATCATCTACTAGTTTAATATCCTCTCTGTTTAAAACAAAAGAATAGGAGAAAGTTTGAAGCAAACTCCAAGGCCAAGGAATTTGCTTTACTCTGATAAAACTCAATTTATGTGAACAACAACAAGAAATTGGTTAAACTCACCATTAATCACCTCTTGTCTTTTGATTTCACAAGGTTTTAGTCCCAATAACACTTCTCGACTAACAAGCTGCTGCCAGTTGGGTGGATCTGTCTCTAAGTCATTTTCAAATTGTTCATCTTCACTTTGACTTTCTCCAAAAGCTACACTGTCAAACCTATGTAGAAAAATGATGAACTCTATTTGAGGACTTCAGGAGGACAAGAGGAAACAGCACAAGTCTTTATATTATAATAATTAGTCAGATTTTTTAAATCTTACCTAGCAGAGCCTGAAACTTCATGCTCTCTTACAAAATGGTTGTGTGTTATATATAATCCATATATAGCTTTTGAATGATGGTTTTGTACTAAGAGCTTTCTTTTCTACTATCTAACAAATTATGTACAGCGTTTCTTCTCTTTTAAAAACTAGGACATTAGAGGGAAAAAAAGCTGTATTTCTTGAAACTTGCCTTTATTAAAAGCTACTTAAGATTTACTTACTTTCGAAAAGGCTTTGGTGTCCCATGTTCAGTCAACCTAAAACAATGAAGAATAAAAAGTCAACATGAAAACAAAATGGTCATCAAGAAATTTATACCAAAGATACTCAAAATGGAGTTTAACTCCAGTGGCTTGATAAACAATTATTTGGGATATTTTAATAATTTAATATAAAATAAAAAAGAGAAAATTTCAGTACCATTCTAAAGTTTAGTACCAACAAGGGCTAGTTCTTTTTTTTCTTATGCCTGACTTAATTAATTTATCTTATTTTTTAAAATAAAATGAGATGGGGTCTAGCTATGTTGCCCAGACTGGTCTCAAATTCTTGAGCTCAAGTGATCCTCCTGCTTCAACCTCCCAAACATGTGGGATTATAGGTGTGCATCACTATGCCCAGTTTATATACTAACTCTTTTTGGAAATATTACATAGGGGAAAAAATGCTACTAAACGTAAAAACAGTATATAATTCAAAAAACTAAATAGTGCTCTAAACCTTTCTAAGATACCACTGAATTACCTTTCTACTTCACATTCCTCCTCCTGCACTTGGTCTAATGGAGGGGGTGGGAAGTCAAAGACAGTATTCAGAGTACGAGGTGTGCCATCTAAGGAGTCCCCAGATGTTGGGGTTTCTCCAACTTGCTTTGATCCTGAAAAGACAAAAGTCAGACAGATGAAGAGTGTTAATACTTAGTAAAGTCACTGATTACAAAAGAAAATTAATTCCCAGAAGAACTTCAACCTAATCCATAGCCACATTCTTATTTAGACAATTGTAGGTTTGCTAGAACCAAAATTATAACATATAAAATTATTTTTAAAAACACTAAAAAATAAACATAATCATCTTTAAAGTAGCTTCTTAAAAATAAACATAAAACACTGCAACAACTCAAACAGTTCAGGAGAAGGCACCACATTCTTCCACCTTATCCTTGTCTACCTCTAGTATTCACTCTTTTTCATGTTTTCAAATTTTAATTATAATAGTCTACATCCAAATAACCTCTTACTTCTCTTTCTTGATTTATTATCTCTAAGCAATATCTATTTATTTCCCCTCTGAGGATTTTGTTCACTTATACTTCCCACCTACACTTCTCCCATTTCTTCCCAAAGCTTAATAGTTAAATTATTATGAGAAATCAGTGCACGGTGATAAGATTGAGATGGGTGACAGGAGGAGGCTGGAGTGAGTTTCTCCTACAGAGTAAACCAAAATAGATTTTCTTCAGCACCTAGAGAGGAATGGGACCAGGAGCATGTCCCATGACTCTCCAAAGGAGTGATAATAACCACTTAGCACAAAGAAGAAAAAATTGACCTGGGCTGGAACTGGTCAGATTTTTGCCTGTACCAACACAATCTACCACAGCCTCCAGATGCAGTGGGGAAGATGAATGAGGGGAATTCAGGAGTTCTGTGCTCCTACTGTGAACTTACAGGGTCCTCTGAGCTTTGTGGGACTCCAATTCCTCATGGGAAACTGTCTTACCCACAACCATGCTCTGCAGTGGAGTGGTGTAGGAAAAAAGAATGCCTTGAGCAGTGCCAGTGCATGGAAATAAACTCTTGCAGGCCTTGCAGCTGCTTTCCAGCTGGCCTAGAAGGGGCATACTTACTATTCCTGCCAGGTTAAGAGATATACAAGTTAGGATTTTATGTATTTTTTCTACTGATTCAATGATGCAACCCCTGAGCTACCTGAAAAAGGATGTTTATTACATTAAAGTCATTCAAGTCTTATCCATTATCAAGTGCTTTAAGATTATGCCACTTTTTATTTTGCTTCATGTGTAAATCATGATTTACTTTCTTGAACAATTCTGTTTTTCTTAGCATTTCTAAATGCCTTTCTTTAGATGTCAAAAATATAATTTTATCAAGTCTCAACTTTTTTGTTAATCTTCTGCCGCACTTTATCCATCACCTGGGATTCCCCGTCTCTTATTCCTGATGCTCCTGTGTTCCAATCTAGAGCAGTTGCTCCCTGGCCTGTGCCACAACCAACAGAATTGCCACTTTGCCACTTTCCTGGGTGTTTCCAGTATTTCCTGGATCGCATGACATATTCTTTCTTAATTTTTCTCTCATGCTGCTGGAGTGTGTATCTTCAAATAATTTTAAAGAAAAGGATGCATTTTGGTTAAACTTTGGACGCTTGCTTATCTAAAAATGTCTTTTTTCTTTCTTCATATTTGATGGGTGGATATAGGAATCTAAGTTCACAACCATTTTCCTTCAGAAAGGTCAAAAAGCATAGCTCTTTTGTATCTTAGCTCCCAGTGTTATGAAGAGAGATGTGACACAGTATAATCCCCGCCCCCCTTTTTTCTCTCAGAACTCATTCCTGGTACACTAAAATTTCCAAGGACATTTTAGAAATGGATTTGTTAAAAAATCATTCATTATGGTTGGTTCTCAATGAGTCCTTTATACCTGAAGATATTTATTCTTTTTCACCTCTGGGGAACTTTCTCCTATGGTTTCTCTAACTATCTGTCCTCCATGTCTTATTGACATTCTGCAAAAGAGACAGATGTTGGAACTCTGTAATGGTTCTCTATAAAATTATTTTCTCTCAAATTTCCAACTTTTGATATTTCTGATATACACTCTCAAACATTTCTTCAACTTTATTTTTAGGGACTTCTTTCTTTACTTTTAAATACTGGCAGTTACAGTAGTTTGAAAATATGTCCACAAATTTATTGATACTCCCTCCCTCGAGGGTGAAAACGAATTCCTCTCTCCTTGAGTGTGGGCTAGATTAAGTGACTTGCTTCTAACTTGCAGAAGTGGCAGAGGGCACCTACAAAGACTAAGTCATAAAAGCAGCAGGGCTTCCTTCTGCTCTCTCTTTTGGGTCACCCCGGAAAAGTAAGCTACCATGTCATGGAACACTCAAGCATTTCTAAGGAACAGGTCATGTGGCAATGAGATGTGGCCACCTGCAAGAAGCTAAGGTCTCCTGCTGACAGCCACCTGAGTGGACACAAAAGGATCCCCAGCCCCAGTTAAACTTTATGAAAACTGGCTGATAACTTAAGTGCAACCTTATGAGAGATCCCAAGCTAGAACCACCCAGTTAAGCTGCTCTCCTGAGTTCTTCACTCATCAAAAAGGTAAGCTAATAAATGTTTTTTTGTGTGTTAAGTCATTAAGTTTGGGAATAATTTATCACATACCAATCGATAACTAGTTCAACAGATATTACATTATGTTTACAATAGCTACATTAATTTTTTTTACTCTGAATGTTTCCTATTCTTGCTTTATAGAGATAACTTATTTAATGTCTCCAAGTATACTATTTAAATTAGAAGCATTTTCTTATGTTCTTATCTATTAGCAAATTATCTTTATCTTCTAGGGGCAGTTTTTCTGTTTATTTTGTATTCTCTCTTTTTTTTTTTTTTTTTTTTTTTGTTTGAGTCTCACTCTGTCGCCCAGACTGGAGTGCAGTGGCCACTCCTGGCCACCGCAGCCTCGACCTGCTGGGCTCCGGCGATCCTTCCACCTCGGCCTTCCGAGTAGCCGGAATTACGGGCATGCACTACCACGCCCGGCTGATTTTTTGATTTATTGTAGAGATGAGGTTTTGCTGCCCAGGTGGGTCTCAAACCCGCGGGCTCAGGCAATCCACTCACCTCAGTCTCCCAAAAGCGTGGGATTACAGGCTGAGCCACCGAGCCCGGCTTGTATTCTCTCTTTATGCTACTGTCTAGTATGTTCAGCATTGTGTTATCTTACATCTTGACTCTGACAAGAATAAGTAATGATGTTCAAATTTAAGAATGAAAGACTGGATAGCTGATTTGGCTTTCTTTTGCTGCTACAGGGAAATAAGTCCGTTTCAATTGAGAATTCTCTGAACAGGGTGAGTCAATAGCATGCCAATATAGTGCCAGGCTCCAGGATCCCAAATGTCAGGTCTCCAGGGCATCAATATTATGGAGCAGCAGTCCCTAATCTTTTTGACATCAGAGACCGGTTTCATAGAAGACAATTTTTCCACGGGCAGGGGTGTGAGACTCATCATGCATTAGATTCTCATGAGGAATATGCCACCTAGATCCCTCACATGTGCAGTAAGGTCCATGCTCCTGTGAGAATCTAATGTGGTTGATTTGTTAGGAGGTTGGAGCTCCGCTCGCCGCCACTCAACTCCTGTGGTGCGGCCCAGTTCCTAAGGTTCCTAAGAAGCCAGTCCGCGGTCCAGGGGTTGGGGGCCCCTGCTACGGAGTATTTAACTCTCCCTATACAATTCATTCAATTTTTCTAAAAAAGGAGCACACTGGTTTTCTTCTAGTCCATAAGTGGTAGAGACTGCTTATATTCTATAATGCAGACATCAGAAGCTGCTAAAGTGGCTTTTTGTTATTACAGACTTTCAATTAATTCATCATTTTCTGCTCCATTTCTTGTTCATGCACTCCATTCACATGCCAACTCTGAGTCCGAGGTCCCTCCAGGGTTCCAGTGGGCAGATGGGCTCCTATCTTAGACTCCTTAAACAAATTATGAGTGTGGGTTTTCTTTATGTTTTATCTATCAAATCACTCTTGTTCACTTTCTATCTTCCAAGTATTTGTTGAAATTTTTTATTTCCCAAAAACATATTCCCTTCCCCTACTTCCTTTCTCCTTTAGTTCTGTTTATTCCTTAACTACCATGTTTTTATTTCAATGAGTTATGAAAGCCATGAAATATCAATGCATGCACACAATCCAACATCTTCAGAATTCCATACTGGACAAAATCTCCATATTTTTGTCTAGATGTCACTCCTACTTCTTTGCCTACCCCATTGAGTTACCTCTTCTGCTACAGCCCTCTCAAGTAGAAACTGATGTTTCTGTCACACACTGGCAACAACATGGACAGCCTTCTTGTCCTCAATATAACTTTTGGACCATTATGTTGCCTTCTTGCTTTTACATTGCACTTCTTGCTCTATTGAGGCTCTCATTCTCTGGATATTATCACATGTTCTTCCTCCCCACAACAATCATCTAACAACACCAAGCTTTTGGCTGCTGATTTAGCTTTCCTTTCCATGATAAAATCACACCAGGTGACATAAAAACCCATGTGTACTGAGTTATTCAAACTACTGACTCCTTGATTCCTTGCCTTCTTCATCCCTGGTGTCCTCCTCTATGTCACCCCAGGGACCACTCCCACAGCCTCATTCTTGGTCAAATCATCACCAGAAACTGATATAGATAGGATTCTCTTCTCTGAATAAAACCATCTATTACCCCAGCTCCATTACTAATAACTCGTTATAACAAGTACAAGGACGTATGGTAATAAGCCCCTTTCCCTGTTACCTAGAACAAGTACTCCATAACCTTCTTTATTCTTCAAATCCCTCATTCTTCTCAAAGAAACCTCCCTCTCCACGAATAACCCCACCCTTTACATACACTTTACATTTCATTTCCTCTCTCCTTCTCAAAACTCTGTTCTACTGTTTATATAGTCTCCTGCATATTCAACCTCTTCTCAGTTTTTCAGAAAAAAATCTATAGTATCTCAGATTTTTAAAAAGTCTTTAGATCCCTTCTTTCCTCACCCACATCTGCCTCAAACTACTGACCAGTTTCCTCAATACTCCCTTTACTTTTCCTTACCAGGCTTAGCACAATTTGAATTTTTTATATTTGTTTATTTGTGACTATTCCTCTCCCCACTATAGTGACTAAGCTCCATGGAGCAAACATCTATGTATAATTATTGCATGCTAACATCTGTTACAAAGCTAATGCTTGACAGAAAGCTTCATAAATATTTTTTGGATAGATGAGAACTAGAAGATATCATTCAGCATAGATTTACAATGGGTTGTAGAATATTAAAATGTTAAAACTGAATTAAATTGGGATTCAATCTTGATTAAAATAATCTGTCACTCTATTTTATAGTCAGTGTGTTTGTTTTAAAGTCTTCATACTTAGTTAAGATGAACTTTAGCACTGCCTTACCTGTATCATTTTCTTTCCCTCCTTCCTGGGAAGAAGTGGCCCCTGAAGCTACAGAGGATGTGGAATTGACAGGCAGGTATCCAATGTCTGTCCCTTCGTTTGCTAGCCCACTCTGGCGTAACTTAGCAGGGTCCTGAGGTTCAGGACTCACAGATGAGGGTGTGGATAAGTGCTTAGGGTGGCGTGGCTTCTGCAGTTCCATGGCTCTGCCAACTGAACAGAAAACAATGGTTTAATAATCTGTATTGCAAAATAGCAACACAGATTTAAATGGAAAAAAGAGATGATTTAAGAGAATCTGAAAAAAATTCTGGAAGATGATGGGCCCTAGCAAAATATAAATTAATCAAGTATTACACTAAGAAACACATGGAAGGGAGGGACACAGGGAGTAAAGGAGGGAGGAAGGGACGGAGGGAGGGAGGGAGGAGAAGGTGGTGAAGAAAGATAAAGAGATGGAAGAGGGATGAAGAAAAAAGGGAGGAAGAAGACAGAAGATGAGGGTGAGAGGGAAGATACAGAGAAAGAAAAAGGGTCATGAGAAAAGGAGATGAATGTACCAGTGGATCCGTGGAGGGCATGCTGACAGAGACAGATACATATGGAGTTGTATTCATTTGTCAGAATGAAGACTGAGCTCTTAGCAAACCCCCTCTCTACTTCTTTCCCAGCACTCACCACTTCATCATCACAATATGCCTGAGACCATCCAGATTAATCTCTATTCTGCTCATTATCCTTGTTCACATCAGTCACCACAAAAAACTAAGGATTCCCACTCAGGTCATCATCCTCCATAGCACTACAATCTGACCCCATCTTCCCTAATTCCTAAAATTCTTCTTCTGTATCACTTGAAACTCATGGTCAGCATCTGTGAAATCTTCCATCTACTCAACTCCCTCACTGAAAATTTCCTTCGCCTTCTCAATACTTCTCAACAAGCGACACTATTGGCATTTGTGTGACTGTGTGGGACATTCACCATCACTGTATCATGATTCCACTCCCATCTACCATGCCAACAATTTCAAATGTGGTACTGATTGGATGAGAACCATCATATAACCTAGTTGCCCACTCCATAGTACCTCTGTTTATCCTGTAGCCCTCTTTATTGGGCTGATCTCTTTTCATTGGGCCTGGAGGTGAAGGAAAGTCAAGAAATAAAGTACAGGGAAGAGGGGGAGAAATTGCAGAAGAATGGAGAGAGTAATATATACAATAAAGCTATTAAACAAGTATGGATGAGAGTCATACACACTTTGCTTTTTAAATTTAACAAACACAAGCTGAATGCAAACAAAACCAGAATAGGTAAGTAAATTATCTGATAGAATACTCTACTTCCACTAAAGAGCATGTTTATGACAATCGTGTAGCAACAAGAGTACGGTACTTAGTACAGAAATAACACTGAATGGAAACAAGGCATGTTGAAAGTACAGTGAAATCATCTCAAGAACACCCTTCTCCAGCAATTCATTCTGGCAAAAGGAGCCTCTGATGTAAAGATGGCCTGAAATAATGGGAATGCAGCCTTTCAAATGTCAACAACAACATACTTGCACTGTTGTCATGACGGCTTGGTCTCCGTGGGGGTCCCAGGATACTGGGGAATCCTCTTCGCTTCCCTTTTTCTTCGCCTTCTCTATCTTTCTTCATACTTTGCTAGAGTTGAGGTACAATCAAAGAGATATGAGATACATATTAAATAAATTCCCTTTGCTGCTTTCACACACAGAAGTGCAATTCTAATAGTTAGTTCAAATAAATTGGTTAAACGTAAATAAAAGTGCACACATACACAAAGCACTCATTAGAGGTTGGTACACAGTACTGTGTGCACCAAAAACTCAAAATGTCTTTTCAAACCCTTTAGAGCTGAAAGTTCTGGAAAGTCAAAGTTGTACAGTACATTTGTCAGGAGATTGTTCTAAACAATTCATTCACTCATGTAACAAATATTTATTAAGCTCATATTGTGTGAGAGCACTATACCAAAGCTGAAATTACAATAATGAAGAAGGTCCTTGACCTCATAGAGCTTTACAATTTAATAAATATTTTTTAAAACCACACACAAAAAAACAACAAATTACAAAATGGCAGGTGCTGTAAAAGAAAGGTATAAAGCATTAACAGAAGTAGGGATGGTCATCTATGGAAATTACTAATTTCACTTTTCACATTGTCTAATAATAGCTTACATGTCTGGATTTCTCCTAGATTTTGAGTTTCTTGAGAACAGAAACCATATCATATGTTAGTAAGACTACCACTAATCTGTTGGTTAAGTACATACCAAGATGGCAGAAAACACTGCAACTGAATGTAGAGAAGCACCGAGGCCTGAACACTCTATCAATACTTCAGTATTACCTTGATTTTTGGAAGAAATCCAATTCGACCCCGCTTGTGCTCCAAATTTCGAGGTTCTTTCACTTTTACTCCCAAATGCTTCATGTACATGAGAATAACATACTGCATTGTGGAACTGAAGGAGAAAGAACTAAGTAAAATAAGACTTCTAAGAAGGGAGGATTGGTAAAATAAAGACATCAAACGATTTCTAAAACCCCAATGTTGGAATTCTTGAAAGTAATCAAGCAAAAAGAAAAGAACTATCTGTTCATTGCACAGAATGACACTAGTATATTAGTCAAATAAAATATAAGCCACCAGAGGGAGACCACAATCTATATTCATAAGTCAAAAGAAGTAAATTGCAATTTAGGGCTTAAAGGAGAAAACAGTTTCTTTTTTTTTTTTAATTCTAGGAAAAAAACCAGTTATGTTACCTCTTATCTTCTTCTACAGCCTGAGCAGTAATTCTAAAAGAAAAAAAAATTTTAAATGAAAGTTTTATTTGACAATTGCTATTAAACTCAGATACCTGAACAACAGAACAGAGTCAAACACTTCAGTCCCCACCATAAATCCCTGTCACTTAGAATAAAATACCAAAAGAACCCTAATCCCTTTCCAGCCTCATATCATTAATTACATGTTTTGTAGCAGAAAATACTTCCAAAGTCTATAAATTGAAACCAATGAAAGTATTCAATCTGTTTTGATCACTGATTAGAAATTTTAGAGTTACTCATTTACCAATACCCAAAATGAGAAACATAAGAACTTTATGTAAAATATCAGAAAAAAGGGGAAAAATCCAGTTTCTCAAGCATTATCATAAAATTAACAGCTCCACATACACAATCCAGTAGCCCTTTTAAATTTGTCCAAAGGGTACTTTGAGCATAACTGGGATCTCAGTAGAGAGGACATTTTTACATATACTTCTGTTACTTACAACACTTCTTCAATTTTGGCAACAATCTGCTCTGCACATGCCCGCTCCTTCTCCAAAGTTACCCGGTCCTTGTCTCGCTCTGCATCAAGTTTAGTCAGTTCACTTTCAGCCAAGGTCAGTCCCATACTACGTTTCTGCCTAAAAAGAAATAGAAGAAATTTCCTGAGGTAGCCTAGAAAAAAAATGATCTTCCTTTCACCAGAATCTCCATAGCTATGAGTTTCTAAGAGCAGGCAAAATGTCAGTTTTCCACTTATGGGTCGATGTCATCTAGGATACCAGAGGGGAAAAAAAATTCTAGAGGCAATCACTTAAAAAACACATATGATATCTTGTAGGAACACATTTAACATAGACATAGTAATGAGCTCAAATCCTGGAAGTGTATACAATGGAGAATATGGACTCTCAATTGCATTCTAATCCTTTGATTACAGATGTTCATTATGTCTATTAACAATAAGAAGACCATATGGTGTACCCAGTGCTAAGTATTTAAGGTATAACGTTTTCTTACCTAAAAAAAAAAAATTCAGAATGACTGTATCAGGTTTTATCTACCCCCAAGCTTACCGAAAATCTTCTAAGTGCCTTTGAACTTCTGGATGTACTCGTTCTTGCATAGTTTGGATATAGTGGCGATGTAGATCCTCAGGAATAAGCTCAGGTCTTCTCTTTTCTGCATAAAAGAAAGGAATTATTTGATCTAAAGGTATGCTCTGTGCAACATATAACTGGCAACATATCAATTCTCCTTGGTACAAATTTAATTTGAAATATGCTGAAGTTCTTTAGTGCATTTCATGTATTTCATCTCAGAACTGATATTTTATATACCCTTACATATGTATTGTAGATGCTCCTTCTGTTGCAATTCAAGTGATCAACTAGACACCATGTGACAGATAAAAACTTTTCAGGTGGGCTGAGTTACATATCTATAGAGTTATAATTCTCCTGGATACCGGTGCTCCAAACTTACCTAGATCTAGAGATATTTCATCAGGAACAGAAACTTTCAGGTGCTAAAATGAAATGCAAAAAAAGGTGAAAATGGGATTAAAGACATTTCAAGATGTACATAAGTACTTCTATTAAGTAAAGGGATACAAGCTGGATATCTATTCTTAAAAGCATATTCTTGTACAACCTCATTTACTCATTCAAATTTCATAGCTCTGGAACACTCTATTATTTAAACGTGAAAAAAAATAGGCCCCTTTCTCAAAGATCATGCTATAAAGGAAACAGCTACATTTTTCACTAGATGAGTGAATGTTTCTGTGTCATACTTACTCCTAATACATATATTGGCTTTGGTTTTCTAGAATCATTGGCTAATATAATCAAGATACATCACTTAAATCAATACAGATAAAATCTGAACTATGCCTATATTATCATATGAAAAATTTATTCATATATAATTATGGTTTTTATTTCCTGTACTTGAGATGCTTATCTGCAGATCATGGTATTCCCAATCATTTTCCTATGTAAAGTTTAAGGACTCTCACAACAGTCATACTTTCTTTTTTTTTTTTTTGAGTTGGAGTCTCACTCTGTCGCCCAGACTGGAGTGCAGTGGCAGCTCCCGGCCACCGCAGCCTCGACCTGCTGGACTCCGGCGGTCCTTCCGCCTCTGCCTTCCAAGTAGCTGGAATTACAGGTGCGTGCTACCACGCCCAGCTAATTTTTTTGATTTATTGTAGAGATGAGGTCTCACCTGCCCAGGCGGGTCTCGAACCCGTGGGCTCAGGCAATCCACTCACCTCAGCCTCACAAAGGCGTGGGATTACAGGCTGAGCCACCGAGACCGGCTAACAGTCATACTTTCAATGAGAAAATATTGATGCCAATGTTGAGTTTTTGAAGTCTTAAATCTCCAGCGACCATCTATAGTTCTTGCTACTGAACTAAGGTAACTGCCTTAAAATTTACTCTTTCCTAGCCAGAATTTTACCCATAATAACTGCTTAATAATTACCAGATTGTTGTCTCTCTCCAATTTGGGGAGAAAATTTTACTATTTTGCATTTAGGGAAAATACCTTATAATCTTCATGTGTATTTTGTGTTGTGTACCTATTTAACTATATACTTGAAGAATTTAAGCAATGCCTATAAGATCTGAAGTTTGAAAATCAAAATTAAGACACTGCTAAAAATTATGAAATTTCTTATATTCATGTGAACAACAGTGAAATGGATTTCAAAACTATCTTTAACCGAAGTTGCCAGGCAGGAACTCAAATCAATGTTCCTAAAAGCATTTTTAGCTCAAATGCAAAAAAATAAATATATAAAAGCTCATTTGTGTATGTCAGTATTTATATAAAATAAATATGACCTGTAGCATAAAAGTATAACTAGCAAATTAATCAGGACTCTTCTTACACTTTAATGTTAATATATTTACATAGATAATAAAGTTTTGACTTGGCTTTCACCTTTTTAAAGAAATGTGAAATTCAAGCATACTTAAATATACTATTATACCTTCATGAAAATAAATTATTTTAATGAAAATAACATAATATTTTAAACAATGGCAATATAATCAGAATGCTAATTCATTTAACAAATATCTGAGTGACCACTATGTGCCAGAAACTGTTCCATGCTAGAGACACAGCAGTGAACAAATAGAACAAAAATATCCACCCTAATGGAGCATGTTAATGTGAATAATTCAGTAGAAAACAAAAAACTGATGATGCAGGAGAGAGGGAGGATAATTGCTACAGTAAAGTCTTTGAGTAGGTGTAAAGAAATACTCAAGGTAGAGGAGGTCTTGGATAAAAGATGAACAATGCTCCCATAGCATCAGGAGAACAGCAGAGTGCAAATATAGTCATCCCTTGGCATCTGCATGGGTATTGGTTTCTGGATGCCCTATGGATACCCAAATCAGCAGATGCCCAAGTCTTTTATATGAATTGACAAAGTATTTGCATATAACCTATGCACATCCTCCAGTATACTTTAAATCTCTAGATTACTTATAATACCTAATTCAATGTTAGTGCTACATAGTTATTATGCTGTATTTTTTTATTTGTATTTTTTTCCTTTAATATTTTCAATCCATGGTAGTTGAATCTATGGGTGCAGAACACACAGCTACAGAGAGCCAACTGCATAAACAAACTAAATAAATAAAAAAAATATAAATTGTAAGAATAAAAGTAACAGAAGTACTATGGGGGGGAGGAGGATGGGATTAACACTAGCAAATATCTGTCTGGGGCTGGGAAAACACCTCTTATCAACAGGGTGCCTGAATGAAACGTAATTGTACACCTAACCCTTAACTGTACCCCACAAAGCCATAATAAAAAATACTGATTAAAAAAAAAAAAAAAAAGTAACAGAAGTGACAGAAAGTGAAGGGGGAGATCTTAAGTAGGTAAGTCAGGGAAGGCCTGCTTAAGATTGTAACTGTATTTAGCAGTGTGAAAGTATACAGGCAATGTTGTCAAGGAATACAAAGAAAATGGGGCAGGCACTGGAGGGAGAAGTAGAGACTTCATGTGTTTGTTTAAGATAACAAAAACAATAATGTTTGCATGTTAATGTGAATAATTCAGTAGAAAACAAAAAACTGATGATGCAGGAGAGAGGGAGGATAATTGCTACAGTAAAGTCTTTGAGTAGGTGTAAAGAAATACTCAAGGTAGAGGAGGTCTTGGATAAAAGATGAACAATACTCCCATAGCATCAGGAGAACAGCAGAGTGCATGGTATGATAGAGGCAGGTGATATATCTGGTAGACGTTGTCTTCTGGTCAATTCAAATTTCTCAGAGGAACAGCAAGGTAGATGAAAAAGTGGTGGACGTTTTAGGAGAGAGAAGGTCTGAAGCCATCATTTAAGAGAACTACAAGTATAAAGGACTAGAGATGTGCAGCATGATTATCCAGGATGCTTTAAGGCCAACTGCTTTTTCCTCCAATTAGGCTAATATTAAAACTTATTAATTTAAAAACGTCATTAACATTTCCACTGGTAAAATAAAACACTATTACCATTTATTTTATTGTAAGTAAAATTTTTTCTACCACTTTTTAGTTAAACTTGTGCCTCCAAACTTCAAAGAGGCCACCCAGAGTATAATTACCCAAATATTATCCATTGAGTCCTAATATGTATGTGTTTGTGTGTGTGTATGTGTGTGTATATATACGTATATGGTATATGATATATAATGTATAGCATATGTGTTCCCTTTTTTATTCCCTCATTCTAATTATGCACATGCAAAAATAAAAATATACATACATATCCTCTAAAACCTACTGTGAGAATTCATATGCTAAAAATAACTTAGGAATAATTAAAAGAAAACAGTCACAAGTAATCAATAATTGAAATATACAGGTATCAGAAAACATAATAAAGTAGTTATTGTGTCAAGTAGCACAAATGTCAATAACACAATAAAGTACAAAAACATGGGATGGAAAATGGAAGCAGGATGCCAACAATACAACGTATTAGACCAAGGATTACAAGATTAACTTGGCAACTTACTGCTGATCGATCTAGGAAAAACTGATGAAACTCAAGGAAGATGCGACGAGTTTCCTTGGAATTGGTCTGTTTATATAGGTCTGAATAGAGATAACATAGCTGTAGTAGAGAAAGGAATGGAAAAGACAAAGTGAGAAATCATGAAAAATGTAATTTGCAAGATCCTCACTGAGTAGGAATGTTTGAAGCAGGTAGGTAGTTCATCATAAAAATGTAGCTATTACTATGTAACCAGATCTTTTTTTTTTTGAGTTGGAGTATTATTCTGTCACCCAGGCTGGAGTGCAGTGGTACACTCACAGCCACCCCAGAGTTGACCTGCTGGGCTCCGACAATCCTTCCCCCTTAGCCTTCCAAGTAGCCAGAACTACTGGCACAAACTACCACGCCCAGCTAATTTTTGATTTATTATAGAGTCTCACCAAGTTGCCTGGGCTGATCTCGAACCCACAGGCTAAGGTAATCCACTAGTCTCAGCCTTCCAAAGTGCTGGGGTTACAGGCTGAGGCACTAAGCCTGGCCGTAACCAGGTCTTTACAAAATAAATTATTAGCTGGGCTCGGTGGCTCAGACTGTAATCCCGCGCCTTTGGGAAGCTGAGGTGAGTAGAATGCCTGAGCCCGCGGGTTTGAGACCCGCCTGGGCAGGTGAGACCTCATCTCTATGATAAATCAAAAAAATTAGCCAGTCTGGGCGACAGTGAGACTCCAACTCAATAAATAAATAAATAAATAAATAAATAAATAAATGAATGAATGAATGAATGAATGAATGAATAAATGAATAATTGAACATTTTAATTATCTTTCATATCTGCCCACTTAGGTTTGGGAAATCAAAAGATCTGTCTACTCATCTTACAGATATCAAAAGTTCTATAGCATATGAATCAATAGAATAACTCTAAATCAGTTAAATTGTAATATATATTACCAAGGTTGCAGGGTCAAACTGTGAAACTACATGATGTAAAAAAACAGCCAAGTGAGCCGGGCGAGATTTTAGCAGTTCAATGCTCTGGAAACAGCTACACTGCCCATTGATCTAGAGAGAGAAATAATTATACATCAGTAACTCCAACACACAAATACAAAATGTAGTGTAGGTTCAACAGAACACAGTAATCCGAATTTCACTTCGACCTCGTTATAAAAATAGTCAACCTTCTAAAAATTTCAATAAGGTAGCAACACAGGCTATAGAATCTCTTTCCTCTGAAAACGAAATGAAAACCTTTTGGGAACAGGTTAGAAGAAAGACTATTTTGGGAGAATGGAAGTTTAGGAGATAATCATCAAGGAGCTCAGATGTCTAAAAATCAGTATGGAAAAAACAGTCTAACAACATTTCGAAAAATGTAATAGAAGGTTTTTTACCCAATAATAAAACAGCTATTTTTCCTTTTCTTCTAGGCTAATCACAGAAATCGTGGAAAATGGAGTTGTATGATTTTAAGTAAGACAACTCCTAAAATATTTATATAATCCCATAACACACTGATCATAAAAAACAGTAACAGTTAAGCTTAAAGTAAACTAGCATCATAATTTTCACAGAATTTTTCACATTTAGAAAAATTAGAGAAGAAAATTAATCTAAAAGTAATATCAATTCTGAACAATATCTTCCAGAACTAGGAGATCATGTCCCAAATCATTCTAAAGGCTAACATTACTCAACTATCAAAACCTGACAAAGATATTATAAAAGAAAAACTACACACCAATATTCCTCATGAACAAAGATGCAAAAATATTAGTAAGTTGAATCTAGTAATATATTAAAAAGATAATACCTGAGATAGAAGGATTGCTTGAGACCAGGAGTTCATGACTAGCCTGGACGACATAGCAAGACCTTGTCTCTACAAAAATTAAAAAAAAAAAAATTATCCAGGTGTAGTGATGTACATCTGTAGTCCCAACTACTCAGGAGGCTAAGGTGGGAGCATCACTTGAGCTCAAGAGGTCAAGGCTGTGATGAACCATAATCACACCACTGCACTCCAGCCTGGACCACAGAGTGAGACCTTGACTAAAAAAAATTTTTTTTTTTTTGAGTTGGAGTCTCACTCTGTCTCCCAGACTGGAGTGCAGTGGCATGCTCCCGGCCACCGCAGCCTCAACCTGCTGGGCTCCGGCGATCCTTCAGCCTCAGCCTTCCAAGTAGCCGGAATTACAAGCATGCACTACCACACCTGGCTGATTTTTTGATTTATTGTAGAGATGAGGTCTCGCTGCCCAGGTGGGTCTTGAACCCACGGGCTCAGGCAATCCACTCACCTCAGTCTCCCAAAGGCGCAGGATTACAGGCTGAGCCACCGAGCCCGGTTAAAAAAAAATTTTTTTTTTATTAAATAAAAAAGTTAATGAATCAAGCCCAATTGGAGTTTGTTCCAGGAATGCAAGACTAATTCAACATTCTAATATTGAATGTATTGTGTAGAATTGATATTACCTTCTAATATGAATCAGTGTAATTTACTAATTACTAAATCAGAAAAACCATAGGATCATCTCTATCATTCAACAAAATTTAACATCAAGTCATGATTTTAAAAAAACTCTCAGCAAACTAGAGATATTCTTAAACATAATAAAGAAGCACCTTCAAAAATACCTGTAGATAATATCATACTCAACAATGAAACATTGAATTTTTTTCAGTGCAATAAAGGCAAGATCAAGAAACAAAAGATAAAAGGATAGCAAATAAGGAAATAAAAATTGTCTCTCCTTATATTATAGATAACATATTTATCTATGTAGAAAATCCCAGAAGACTTAGTTTAGATCACAGGATACACGGACATGAATTAAGTCAATCGTATTCAGTTATGCCATCAATGAACCAATAGGATTAAAAAAAAAATAACATTTTCAGTAACATACCTAACCCAACAAAATACAGTGCTTAAGTATATAAATCAGTAACCTGACTCAGACGGGCCTTAAAAGCAAAATCATTTCTGTTGGTCAAAGCTAAAATAAACAATTAACCCAGGGAGCTACTGGCACTAAGATTTAGCTTCAAATCCTTACATATGTTATTTTAATCTCCAGAAAATGTTCATTTGCTCATCTCCAGAAATGTTCATCAGACATCTGAGAAAAACAATAATTTATATTTTTTAGGAAGAAAAAATCATCACCTGTTCATGTTCGGTACCAAAATCATCATCCTCTGCTCCAATAATATGAGGTGCCACACGGGTTGAAGGACTTCCGACAAGAGATTGAGTGTCCTGGTAATATTTAGAGGAAAAAAAAAACCAGAAAACCATCTGGTGGTCAATTTCAGAGAAAGAAAAAAGGCAAACCATCAAAACAACATGGTTCACTTAAATGTGGAATTTCTTTTTTTTTTTTTTTAAGTACTTCATTTTCAAAGTAGTGGTCTCATATTTTCAAGGCCATGAACCACTTCAGCAGAGAAAATAACAACGATTGTTTCATGGGAAGAAAAAATATTTCCCCTGGAAGATAGTAAATACCCTTTGTTCACTATGCCGTGGGGTATCTGACTCTAATCACTTTCTGTGTTAATTCATACGCAGCTAGAACTTGCTACAAAAAGAACATTGGCTTACATAAATAGTTACAATTAAAAAATTAAATTTAAAAAGGTGAATGAAGACAATAGGTCAAAAAAAAGAAAGTAGAATTAACCAAGTTAGCAAAGGTTAATATACCTGAAATGTACCAATAAAAAATTTCCATTTATGAAATATACCTAAAAGCTGTCACTGAACCCTATTTTTTCACTTTTAACTCATTTTCCTAAATTTCAGGGTTTTTCAACTATGGCACTGTTGACATTTGGGGCAAGACAACTCTTTATTGTTGGGGCTGGCCTGTGCATCGTACGATGTTTAGTAGCATCCCTGACCTCTACATATCCACTAGAAGCCAGTAGCAGTCTCCAGTCCTGACAATCAAAAGCATTTCTAGACATTGTCAGATGTCCTCTGAAGGGTAAAAAATTGCTCCCGCAGCCGGGCTCGGTGGCTCAGCCTGTAATCCCGCGCCTTTGGGAGGCTGAGGTGAGTGGATTGCCTGAGCCCAGGGGTTCACGACCCACCTGGGCAGCGAGACCTCATCTCTACAATAAATCAAAAAATCAGCCGGGCGTGGTAGCGCATGCCTGTAATTCCGGCTACTCGGAAGGCTGAGGCGGAAGGATCGCCGGAGCACGGCAGGTCGAGGCTACGGTGGCTGGGAGCGGCCACCGCACTCCAGTCTGGGTGACAGAGTGAGACTCCGACTCAAAAAAAAAAAATTACTCCCCGTTGAAAATCACTGGTTTAATAAAATGAAATTTACAAGAATTCTCACAAACACTGCTATAGAAACAAAGATAACAAAATCTTAAAAATAAATAGTAGGTTGGCAGATCACACCCTATGTGATAGCTCAACCATGTGTCAGTCAACCCATAGAGTTGGATTCACATGAAAAGGGCAGTATAGAGGCATCAGTATATAACGTAATAAATATGGGATGCTTGAAGACCATAAATTCTAAAACTGAAGACCATATAGGATTAAGGGGAATAAAAATTTTGGAAGAAACAGGAAAAGAATGAGTTTGGCTTAATTCTGATAGCAGATTCTAGAGTTCAGCAAAGAAGCATGAGGTGGACAGGGGGCAGGGACTCAAGTCTGTAATCCCAGCACTTTGGGAGGCCGAGGCGAGCGAATTGCCTGAGCACACGGGTTTGAGAACAGCCTGGGCAACTTGGCGAGACCTTGTCTCTACAATAAATCAAAAAATTTGCCTGGCATGGTGGCACGCACCTGTAGTTCCAGCTACTTGGAAGGCTGAGGCGAAAGGATCACCTGAGTCTAGCAGGTGGAGGCTGTGGTGGCCATGAGCGTGCCACTGCACTCCAGCCTGGGTGACAGAGTGAGACTCTGACTCAAAAAAAAAAAAAAAAAAAAAAAGAGTATGTAAGACCAGCAATCCTACTTCTAGGTATACACATAAAAAAACTGAAAGGGCAGCAAATTCGCAAAAGGTGGAAGCAACCCAAGTATCCACTGACCGATGAACAGATAAACCGTGAAGTGTTAGTCAGTCTCAGAAAGGAAGTTCTGATTTGTGCTACAGTATGACTGAACCTTGAAGACATTATGCTAAGTAAAGTAGGCCAGTCACAAAAGGACAAATATTGTATCATTCCTTTTTTTTTTTTAGAAAGCAGGATTTATTGAGAAGACAGAAAAGTTCCCACAGTGGGAGGGGACCCGAGGGGGTTGCCCCGTATCATTCCTTTTACATGAGTACTCAAAGTTGTCAAATTCACAGAGACAGAAAGTAGAATGGTCACTGCCAGGGCTGAGGGAAGCGAGAAACATGGACTTAGTATTTAATGGGTACCAAGTTTCACTTGGAAAAGATGAAAAAGTTTTGGTGATGGATGGCAGTGAAAAAATTTATTTTATTTTTAAAAATTATTTTATTTTAAAGATGTGGGGTACAATAAAATTTATTTCACTTTAGAGATGTGGGGTACAATTCAGGATTAGGTATACAAGTAGTCATCGTACAGGTAAAGTTTGGGCCTCCCTTTAGTCCCCACTTTGCCTGGTTTGAGATCAGGTACCCTTATTAATGTTATGTGCACCCCCTACCCCGTGAATATACATAATGCCACGGTACACTTAAAAATGGTTAAAATAATAAATTGTATATGTATTTTACCACAACAAAAAAATACCAAGCAGCCAAATAATACTAACAGACCACGAAATATCTCTCTACTTATTTAAATCTTCATTCAGTTTTTTACTCCAAGTAAAATAGGCAAACATCAGATCTGTTTACTATATGTTAAGAATAAAGAAAGCTAAAGACAGTACTATCACTGCATAGATTTCATACTCACAGTGTCCTGAATTGTTTCACTTTTTTCTGGATTTTCTTCTAGATAAATCCTCTCTTTCAGGCTACTCTTGGGACTCTAATTTTAAAAAAAGAAAAAAAATAACTTTCAATTTATTTCAACAGGTACACAAAAGAAAACAAGGAAAAAGCGTGTGAAAAAATAGTGTTCTGAATTTCATATTTGTACTTAAAAGTACTAAATATCTTTTATATAATACCTGGCTCTGCTACTCTTTTCCCTGACCTTGGCAAGTCACTTATTCACTCAGCTTTTTAGTTTCATGTTGATAAATAATACAGAACCAATAGAACAGTTTTTACCTAATCTCCAGGACTGGCATTACTTTTCTACTAAGCAACTTTAACTAGATACATTACATATCTCTACTCATTCGGTCAAAGTAAAACTCCACTTTGCCTACCCCATGCCTTCCCAAGGTATCCTTCCTTTCCAAATTAAAAGCATTTTTCCTATTTATACGAATACAATTAAGCATCTATTACTTGATCATGTGAAAGGTGGCTATGTGGATTTTATTTATTTTTTATTTATTGTAGAGATGAGGTCTCACCAAGTTGCCTGGGCTGGTCTTGAACATGAATCCATGTTCTTTTTTTTTTTCTTCTAAACCATTTTTATTCATAATTTCTCATGATAACCTTATAAGGTAAGTAATCTTACTATTTCCATTTTACAGATAAGGAAAAGTAGCTTGGCTAATGGTCACAAAGCAATTGGTAGAGCTAAGATCTAAAAGAAACTAAATTATTTTAAATTACGTGAAAGATGGCTAAAATTCAAATTAATGACCTGTAATGTTAAGTATGAATCCATGTTCTATGTGGATTTTAATAAAGTTTACATGGTATGTTTGGGATGACCTAATCAACATTGTTGCTCAGGATTTGGGGGGGATTGGTTCCAGGACTGCAGACACCAAAATCTGCGGATGTTCAAGGACCTGGTACAAAAATGACATGGTATTTGCACACAGCCCATGTACGTTCTCCTGTACACCTTAAATCAACTTTATATTACTTATAATACCTATTACAATATAAATTATAGTATTAACTACTCTACTATATCGATTAGGGAATAATGATGAGAAAAAAGTTTGCACATACTAATACAGACAATATTTTTTTCTGAATATTTTTTATCTGCAGCTGGTTGAATCCATAAATGCTGCCCATGAGTACAGAGTCGAGTGTATAAAACGCAAACTATATGAGAAAAAGAAAATTCACTTTTGAGGAATGAGGAACATTCCAATAAACGAGAGCCATTTTTCAGAGTAACTGAAATTGAGGAACAAGAAACTTGTCTATGAATGCCAATAGGAAAGATACATGCATCTATATGTACACTAACATATTACAGGATAAAGAAAACAGTAGTTTCAAATATATGCCCCACTTTGAGGAAATGAATAACTCTGGATATTGGACAAGAGACATAATAGATTAGAATAATTGTCAGAAAAGCAAGGAAGCTATCAAAGATACAGGAAAGTCATGCCAAAAGAACAGAGGAGACAATTTGAGGGGCTCCCATCAGCCAAAAAGGAGAACTCAAGTTAGAAACTATGAGTTCAAAATATTACACACACACACACACACACACACCCTCCTCACTAGTCACCTTTGGAGTTTATAAGGGTATCAACTCTCCTGAAAATAATCAAGGAAAAGATTCCTTAAAAGAAAATCTGAAAAGAATAAAGGAAAAGTATCCTGCATTTCCTATATAAGCTGTATTTTAGGATAATCTAATATTTATTAATATTAGATTAATAGTAAGGGAAAATACTTCTTTATAAAATAATTCCATCTAATAAATACAGAAAGAATGACAAAGTTATATCATCTTTCTGAAACTCCTAATTAAATAATGGATCTAGGCATTTTGATCATCAATGGCATATAAAAACATTACACAAAAGCTTGATGTAAAATTTTATAATGCAGGAATCCTGTTCACATCACCTGGACAATTAAGGCCATCAAATATTAAGAAAATAGTAATTCTTAAGCTTTGATAAGGATACTACAGCTATATTTTTAAAACATCTTATCTCTTAGACCTATTAATAAAATAATGCCTTGAATTCACTTTAAAATAATCCAGTGTTGGAGAATAAGAGGAATAAGGGACAAAGACAAAACAAGTTTGAGCGCATGTTGATGGCTGCTGAGGCAGGCTTATCAGAGACATGACAAGGGTCATTATGCCAGTCTCCACTTTGGAATATGCCTTAAAATTTTCCCAAAAAAGTGATTTTTCAAAAACATTATTCACAAATTGAAACTCAGAAAGGCAGATGCTCTGAACTTCAGATCATGATTTGTTACCAGGTTACTTCTCTTGTGAGAACTCGGTATGGGGAATTGGTATGCAGAAAACATTCTTTAAAGCCTTCCCCAAGATGAGCAAAAGCACAGAACATTTTTTACAACGATAATATGAACACTACCAGAAGACCATTTTATAAAAATGAGGGAAAAAAGCTAAAAGCACTGACTCAAAAGATAAGAAGCCTAGTTCCTCCAAACTTACTACAGTATAATGGAAACAAACATGGAAATCCATAAGCTAAGAGCAACATTTTTAACCTTGAACAGGCACCTGCAGGAATTCAGTCTGTTGTACGTTCAGCAGATAGCCTAGTCTGGGCTTTATCATTTCTCACCTGTATTTGTATAATATTCATTTGTGTGGCCTTAGTTTCCTCATCTAGAAAATAGTGATACTGCTTCTTTAAGATTATTATGAACGTTAAAAAGAGTATCTGTAAAGCATTAGGTATAACCTCTGCACAAAGTAGGTATTCAATAAATGTTATGCATTTGAGATACATTTGTTAAGTTTCTATTAAGCCAAGCAGTCTTCTTTTGTTACAGATCTTCCTGTCTCTTTACTCCAAATCATTTTCCATACTGACATGTTTCTGATGGTACCTCTCTTCTGCATGCAAGATAAAGCCCAAACACTTTACTCATTCATGTTGTTGTCCATTCAAATCCTTGTTAAATATCAATTACATACCAAACAATCTTCATTCACTGGAATGTCCTATTTCTATACTTTCTAGTTAACTTACAAAGTTATATTTCTAAACCACGTATTATATTGTAATATTACTCTAAATACAAGATAAAATTCAAATTTCTCTAAATACAAGATAAAATTCAAATTTCTCAGGGGTGTCACTTGCTCTGCATGAATACAATTTGCCACACTTTGGAAACATAAAGTCAAATAACACAGTTCCTGAGCTCTCAAGGAATTTCCCATCTAATAGTAGAGCCAAGCCATGAAAACAAAGAAGAGAAGCAGCGCTAAATCAAAAAGGAAAGTATGAGAAGGATTCTCGAAAGCAGTGTATGCTGCTAGGACAAGTTGAAGTCCTTTATCCCTGGACTCAAGACCTTGTTTCTATGATAATCTCTAGGCATTTCAACCCTAGTTAACACCAGGTTGCCTTAAAATATTCACTGCTCTTTCAAAATGTTATGCCTCTTCATATTTCAGTGTTTTTGTTTATATTTAGAGTACTGGTACTTTGGAGCTAGGTGGAGGCAGACCATCTATTGCCTGAGTAAGTTTGGCAAGTCAGTTAATTCCCTTTGACCACAGTTTTTTTTTTTAATTTTGTAAGGCTATAATAACAATAGTACTACATCATAAGGCTGTTATGAGAATTAGCTAAGATAAAGAAGGTAAAACACCACAGTGTATGTTATGCATGCCCAATAAATGCTAATAGGCTATTATCATTTTTTTTCTTCAGTCAAAATTGAAATTTTCCATTTAAACCTTTAGCCAACCCAATCATAAGACTTCTATCACCATCTTTCAAAAAAGAAAAAAACTCAAATTTTTCTTGCATGCAGAACTGAGTCATTCGGCCTAAGCCTCCAATAGCCTGAATGATGACTTAAACCATGGCTTTCAATTTTTTTAACCACAACCTTTAATAAGAGAGAAACTTCACATTGTTATCCAGCATATATGTGTATATGTATCAAAAATCACAAAAAGTAACACCTTTTCTACATGCTAAACACTCTTATTCCCTATTCCTTTTTTTAAAATACTGACCACAATCCACTAAATTTATTCCATATCCCAAAGCTGCAAAGACACTGCCTCAGAACTACTTCCCTCAACACTTTTAAAGAGCGTGATCTATTTTTTTTAATCATTATTCCTGTCCTTGCATACTACTTACGAAGTATTGCTAAGTAACACTGAACTTAGCTTGTAAGAATTCATATGACATGGTGCTATACCATATTCAACTTAAAATATTTTATTACCATCTTCTTAACAGAACCCATGTTCACCTGGCAGTTTCTGGATTAATCAAGAAAGTGCTATAACTAAACCTGCGCTATTAACTGAAGTCTATCTAACAGAACTAAGTCTTTTCCTCTTTGTGATTCAAGACTGAGTCACTTTGACCACAAGTGGAATATTAACATGCTCTTAAAAGATATCAACAGTTGGTCTCTCGGTTCAGTAAGAATGCACTGGCATTATTAACTTCTCTACCCACGAAAAAGATACCTGCTGGGAAATTCCATTTCTGCAAAAGAAACAGTTGGCAATGGGTGTTCAAAGGAAAAAGTGAACTCTGGAATTAAAAGTTCATATATAACAGTATTCAGAATTTCTGTACATCAAATTGGTATATGAAAGATGGAGATGGTAAAAAGTAATAAAACCTCTAATTTACAGAACGAAAAATAAAATCTAGCAAGGGGTTATAAGGAAGGATACAAGAAAATAAAGATTTAGAACACGTAATGCTTACATCTGCATTGTCACTACTGGGCCGAGAAGCATCTGCACAGCAACAGTCAGTCCTGCCCAGTCCATCTCCAGGATCTACTTCTGCCTCATTGACTGTTGGGGTGTCACCTGGAGGCCTGGAGGGTGTGACTACAGCTCCATCCTAAAGCAAATTAAAGAGCGCACACACACAAACACATAAAAGAAAATGTTCATTACTTCCTGCATAATGAAAAACAGGTCACTACAATCTAGAGTAAGACTGCTAAATGTTGGACAACTGTGATGTAGTGAAGGATGCTTAAAGTTCTAGTAGTAAAAACCATAAAACACTACTAAATCTATGATTCCAATATGGCATGCCTTAAAGGCAGGGAAAGTGATATTTTAACAAAGATAATAAAAGTTCAAACTTCCAACTAAAGCAGAAAGGAAAAATAGTTGATTAAAATGTATATAACTTCGATTATCTACCCATTAATAAAGGTTATTACATTATAACTTCCAGTTAGCTTCCTTCCAGCTGCCTTCTAGTACTTCCAGAGTTGCAATAAATTGCCAATTCTGGGAGACAATGCTATAACATAAATTATTATAAGCTTTTCAGTCAGGAATCGCTTTTATATTGTTACTGTTCTATGGGATAAGAATGTAGTCTTTGCTCAGTAATAACATAAAACTGTCAACACTAACGAAGCATAATACTCAAAATGTGTGACATAGCTAGTGGGACTGAAAGGAACAGAAGAAAAATGATGTGTAATGAAAAGTATACTAAACTAGGATGTCAGGAGACCTTACATACTGCACAGCCTTGTGTAAGTCATTTGACCAGTTTAGTCCCTAAGTTTCTGAACTACAATATTATTTTTTTACCTGAAAATAAACATATTAAGCTAGATGATCTCAAAAAAAATCCGAGTTCTATGACTATGTAAGTGCCTTTCACTTCAGACTTAACTCAGGAACGGTGACAAATCAACAGCTTTTACCCATTTTAAAATTGTACAAGTAATTTATCCATTTTGCTTTAAGACAAGGTATAAGGTGTTTTATATATTCCATATCTGAATATTATAAAAGTCGTATGACATACAAATGCTGAACTATTTTTTTCTAATGAGACCATTATCTCCATAACATACCTATATGGCAAATTTTATTGAAATCTATTTTTAAATTATAATAAAAGTAAAGTCATTAAGTATGAACATGCTTTGAAATCCCAGACTGGGTTTGAATTCTATTTCTATCACTTTTCACCTATGTGACCTCAGACAAGTCACTTAATCTCTTTTCGTTTCTCTAAGTGTATATGTAAACTGGGGGAAAATAATGATATATAACCTCAGAGGGCTACTGTTGTTATATCGATTAAGAAAATGCTTGTCCATATATTTAGCACAATGCCTGCTGTTTAAAAACTTTATGTCCCTACTTAAAAACATACCAACCGCCATTCTGTTTTAAGATGGCAGAATAAAGCACAAAAAATGTAAATATATTATCTAAATACACTGTAGCAGTTTGTCACATCAAAGCAAAGGCACCCAATTCTTTTTTATATTATTATGGAACAAAGAAATGTGGATATTATGAGTAAGCAAACAATCAGAAGCCCACATTTACTTTTGTTAATCATTACTTCTGTACTATCCTAAACAGGACATCCTGTGGTCCTATGCTAGAAAAATAACTTTTTTAAAAAGGTAACTGCAACATTCTCTGACACATTCCCAGAAGAAAATTCTCCTGCCAAAAGTTGGGTAGCATTTTTAATAGTGATGCTACCTGAGCAGAGCCTGTGGCTTTGGATAACTGCTCTTGCAGCTGAGGAATGTGTTTCTTGGCCTCTTGGATCTCTTTTAGCAATCTTTGGGCAGGTGTTCGGTTGTAATCTTCCTGCAATAACTGCAAAGTTATAAAAATATTTTGAGAATTAATTACTTAAGTAAAGAAAATATAGAAAAATTTTATTCTTAACCAATAAAATAGCTAAGGGCATCGATTACAATACTGCTTGATTATGATTATAATTATAATAAACACCAACTCAACTATGCCCATTTACATTTTTATCCACCTATAAACAGCCCCATTTCTAATTCAGTACCTGCAGCCGTTCCTGTTCTTTCTGTAACATTTTTCTCAGAATTTCTACTTTCTGGTTGTGAACCACATTGTTTTCCTCCTAGAAAAAACAAAAAAAACAAACAAACAACCACCAATACAGGAAAAGTGAAGCTAAAATAGAGGAAAAAAAACCAGTGCTCTGCCTCAGTTTCAATGATTAGTACTATTAGAATGTTCTTTATTTCTGGGTTATGAGGATAGGCTTTTAGACATGATACTTATAAAGATTAAAAAATTATAGAAAAGTCTCTGCTCTTCTATTTCACTTTTACTATTCTGGGTTCCTGAAAACACTAAATATTGATATTAGTTGGAGAAATAAAGTTGTTACAGTACAAGAATAATATCTTACACTTTCCCTCATTTGGCTCTTTATTATCAATCCCTACACAGGGCTCAAATTCCCAGAACCCCCTACCTGAAATACAAAGACAGCTCTCTAACTCACCACCCAACATCTTTCCTTGTTTTATAGCCCTATAATATTTTACAAAATTAATCTTCCTGTAATTCTATTATAATCATGTCACTCCTTTGCTCAAGAAAAAAACACTGCTTATCTTGTTACATGTAAATTAGCCCGGTAGCTATGATTTTTCAAAATATATGGTCAAAGTACTCTTTTCAAGTTCATCTTCCACTATATACAACCTTAACAAGCACCAAACAAACAAAAATCCTGGCTACTTCCCAAAACTATCTGATGCTTTCCTAGCTTTTTAAACTGTTTATTCTACTTCCTCTATCTGAATTCCCTTCACCATCACCACCAATTAAATATTGCCTGTTTTTCAAGGCTCAATTCAAATAAAACCTTTTCTTAAAGGCCTTCCTTATCGTTGCCAGATGTGCTTTCTCCCTCCTTTGATCTTCATAGAATTTATTATTTTTCCTTCATAATGTCTACATTCTTTTGTTTTATACTAACTTATACACTTTTGATTTAATCTTAATCAACAGAAGTTTATTGAGAACCTACTATACGGCAAGCAATATTTCAGGTACTGGGGTAAGCAAACAAAGAAAACAACAACAAACCCCTATCCTCCAAAGTATACATTCTAAAATGACTAAGAATCCTGAAGATAGAATATCTTTATTATACTGTTGTGAGTGGCACATTGATTTTATATATGGTAAATGTTTAATATTTGTTTAATTGAGTCTGCTCTATTACAATACGCTATAATGATTCCTAATTATTACATACTTTTTATATTACGAAGTCATTTTCTAGAAATTTAAACTTGATTTGTTCATCAGCCTAATACTTCAAAACTCTTAAGTAAAGGCATTCTTACACAATTGAGCATTTACTAAGAAATTTTCTTACTCTTACCCCCATGAGCACAGGACTAGTGATTCTCTCCATATTCCCAGATGCTCCAGGTGAATGAGGGGATGTCATGATGGGAGACATATGTCCAATGACTGATGGCTCTACTTCAGAATCAGCAAGTGGAATCTGGGGCGACCCAGGTGGGCGTCCCTGAACAGTGAGAGCTACATAGGAACCAGCTTGGGGCAGGGAGATGGGAAAAAGGAAAGGGAAGGGAAAAGAACATTGTCAAGAAACTTTTTGTAGCATTTCACTACTTAATCTATTGACAGTTCTAAAAGATTCTGTTATAAGAGACAATCCCATAATCTGTTTCCACAGAAAAATTATACAATTTGTCATTTCTCTTTTATGACTGCCCTAAAAATTTAAAAGAACAATGACACCTTCAGATAGCAAATACTTCATCATAAGACCAAATATTACTGGCCGGGCTCGGGGGCTCAGCCTGTAATTCCAGCACTTTGGGAGACTGAGGTGAGTGGATTGCCTGAGCCCAT